GATGATCTGCTCAGGTCCCTTCCGACCCTAGAAACTGAAACTGTGAAACTATGTTATTGTTAGTCTTTAAGTTATAGCCTAGGGGCTTGTGTTTGTGTTCATGTTTACCCCAGAGAATTGGGATGAGGCTGGAAGGGGAGGTTTGGAGACCTCATTACTGCCTAGAGAGAGGGCACATGATTTGGTAGAGCCCAGTGTTAGGTACAGTGAGCATAGCACTAGAGGGGCACAGCCGGAAGGACGCAGCGAGCCCAGAGCGTCAGAAGGGTGCAACCAGAAGGATGCAGTGAGCCCAGAGCACCAGAGGGGCACAGTGAGCCCAGAGCACCAGGAGGGTGTGGTTAGTGGCACAGTGAACCCAGAGCGCCAGGAGGGTGCAGTTAGAAGGACTCAGTGAGCCCACAGTGCCAGAGGGACACAGGTACAGGGTTGGGTGAGTCCATAGCACCAGAGGAACGCAGCTAACAGGGCACAGAACCAGGTGCCCAGGAGAGAGGCTTAGAGTCAGGCATCTGAGAGAAAGGCACAGAAAGCCAGTCACTAGAGAACTCAGTGCCTGTGCGTTACAGAGAGACAGGAGCCAGAGGGCTCAATGTCAGGGGTGTATAGAGTTAATGATGGTAGTAACACCTGCAAGGCATGGGGCACATGCAGGGGAGGTCAGAGTGTGTATACACTGCCCAGTATAGCTGGGTGCATGAAGGGCAGCCTCCTGCCTAATGAACAACGTAATTGTTAACTAGCAAGGTGTGGCAGATGAGATAGGTGGGCGGACTGCCCAAGACAGGTGGGTAGGCTGATGCAGAGGTTCACCTCAGGGCAGCCCCCTGTCAAATACTGTAATTACTGTATTTTTTCTTCATTTTTTTAATGTTCTGGGACAGGAAACAATTATACATTAAGGAAGTGATGGGAGTGATATCGTAGCTATGATGGGGCAGGAATATGCTAGAAGCAAGGATTTTTGTAGGTGATGTCTTTTATTGGACCAACTGCATGGTTAGAATAGACTTAGACTCGTAAATGAAAAATTTTAAAGGCTCTTAAATGAGAGGTATGGCACATTTTTAGAGTACCTGTATACTGTTATTTACCTATGATTCCTTGTTTGATGATTGCAAAGACATAATACATCTTTTTTTATGCCAACTGAAAGAGGCAAGTGAAAAAACGGTGTGTCTAGCATTGGATAAAATATGGGGAATGAAATCTGGGCTCCCCTGAAGTCAATGTCAGAACAGCTAGGAGGGTCAGATTTCATCTGTGGTATATATTTTACAAATGATTCTAAAACAATGCAAAGATTTGGTGGCATTTTGTGAAAGATGTACATATGCTCAGCCCTGTGCTGCTCCAGATTTGTACACTTAGCTTTCAGCAATGCCACTGCTGCCACTGTATCTTGATTGCCAGCACAGTGTAAGGTTTCTGTGCATCAGAAAGGCTTGTAAATTTCTTAGCCCTGGATGCAAGTCAGCTGCAAGCCAGGGGATCAAGCAACCAGCTTAGTTGAAGAAAATCTGTTTCATATAAAATTGGAGGCACAGACAATTACAATATGCAGTGGCATCTGGCAGTGCTAGCTAATGGCAATTCTTTCAGCATTTGTTGACTTCACTATGGCTGCTTCCAGATGTGGAAACCACCCCCAAAATGGCACTTTAAACTTGATGTGCTCCCGCAGTGAGCCTAGCACATTCCCAGAAGAGGCATCATGTTAGTTGGACCCAGCTTGCTGAATGTCTGTATAGATCAGGCACTTTAGTGGGGCTTTTTGGCACTTTTATCTAATAACTGATTGAATCAGCTAATTGATAAAAGCGCCAAAAAACCCCTTCTAAAGCAACTGATCTATACAGTTGCTGTGGAACTGGGTCAAAGTAATGTGCTGCTGCTTCCAATAACGAGTGTATCCCCCAGCACAACACGTCCATCAGTGCCCATTGTTAAACAGAATCTTTGGATAGGTTGAACTGTGGTCCATTATCAATACAAATCTCTCCTGGGACTCTGTCTTGCAAATACAGACTTCCTGTGATATTGCTATGTCATCGTCAGCAGCAGCATTCATTATTGGCAAAACAGAACAAAAGATTTCAACAGAAATCTTTAGGGTTTTCCTAGCAAGCTGTTAAAGCCTATCTCTGCGTCAGAGACTACATCAGTATATCAGAATGCTTTGTTTAAAGAGAAATGCTAGGCAATCGCTGAAATATTACACAGGTAACTTACTGTCAACAGAATCTATGCAGTCAGAGACCATGTAAATGTAGAGTTTAGTAATAAGTACCTTCAAATCCTCTCTAATTTTCTTCCCCAGGCTACGCCCCTGTACACAGGAATATGCCGTTTGTTGCTGGGGCTTTGCGTTGGGCTCAGGAACTGAGAGACCGGATCCAATTTCCATACAGTAATTTTAGGCATATCACACACACGTATGTATCTTTATCACAGATAAGTTATTTTTATCTAGTATTTAGATCTAAAATGGTTATCATCTGGAAAAGTAAAATGTACTTCTGTTGTGGAGAAGCAGTTATAGTTGTGTTTTCAGCTTTCATGAAGTCCATATTTTTATAAATGTATTCATTGGATTTGTTTTGAAGTGGTGATAAGGTACAGTAGGATAGGCTTTTCAGCTTTTGCATTGGCTTTAGGTTGTCAGTGAAAATTATTGGACATCTTCCCACTATGATGTACATTGGTTTGGCCTGTATTCTCCGCTCACAAGTGGCTTAGGACTAGAATTATAAGGGATGCTACAAATTTTTGAAGAGCAAAGACCTGCTGGATTGTATTAGATTGAGATGGACTGGCAGAGATTTGTGGAGTTTCAAGAACTGGTATAGCAGGAGTCTGGAACTGAAGGGTATTTTTACAAGTGCTCCAGGGTATTTTTACTTTTGCTTTGGGATGCAATGCCAGGTGAGCCGCATTCATTAAAAGCACCTGCGCATTATGTGTGTCGTATCCCTGCATGTCCCTGTGCTGAAAAAATGGTGGTGGGGTACTTTGAACTGAAGTTCATTGAACGTGTTTTATTTCAAAGCGCCCCGTTGCCATTTTTTCAACACAGGGACTCATAGGGACGCTGATACACAGGACTTAGAAGGCTGCTGGTGCACATCAATTTTTGCAGACTCAATTAATCTAGTCTGCTCTGATGCACTGGATTTCCAGCACATTAGAGCAGGCTCCCCACACCTCTGTAGGAGCCCAAAGTGCCCAGGCAGAACTTTTCATCAAGTAATTTGTTCAGATCACAAGCAAATTAGAAGAATTAAAAGCAGTCATTTTCATGATTAAAGGCAAATTTGAAAAATCCCATGATCTATTTATGTAAGCATATTTCTTGTTTATTATAAGCCACCTGAGGGGGAAAAAAAATCACTATACATGTGCTGTTTCCATACCCTACAGCACCATGACTGTTTCTAGACCAGGGGCAGGCAAAATACGGCACATGGGCCAAATGCGGCATGCCAGGCCATTCTCTCCAGCCCTTGGGGCCCCTAAAAAATTTAGAAAATTAATATTTATTTGTACCTGGCTGCCTGTCAAAGATGACAGGAGCCCAGGGCAGTGGGACCCAGGGGAAGCTGCTGGTAGGATCAAATGGCTGCAGAAGCAAGGCCTGGTGTCCCTGCCCTCTGTCCCGTCCCCCCCACAGCCAGAGGCTTGTGGCCTGAGCCCCAGGGGCTGTTCCTGCCTCCTTGCACTGAAGGGAAATTCAGATAAGGATGGGTGGGGGGAGGGAGGGGGTGACTCCAAGTGAGCACCCCAGTCCTCAGGATTAGGCTGAGCTGGCTGCTGTGGTCCTGGTGCTGCAGCCGGGAGCCACGTACTGGTAGAGTGGCTGGCAGGGGGTGGAGAGGAGTGGCGGCAGCCGCAGGCAGGGAAGCTGTGAAAGTAGCAGCAGGCGGGGGGAAGGGGCAGCAAACGGGCACACGGAGCTCAGCGACAGCTGGGTGGGAGCGTGGGGTCTGCGCTGGGGCCAGGGCCAGTGGGGACCAGAGTGGGATGGCAGGAGTGTGGGGCCAGGCTAGCAGGGCTCTGGACCTGGGTCAGCTCTCCCTCTCCCTGTTGGCACAGCCTGGCCTGGCTCCATAGAGCCCTGCCAGCCCATGCCCCGTGCTCCCGCGCTCCTGCCCAGCTGTCGCTGACCTCCTGCACACCTGCTCACTGCCACTTCCCCCATCTGCTGCCACCATTTGCCTGCCACTGGCATTGCTCCCCTCCACCCCCCCGCCAGTTGTTCCAACACCGCATCATTCCTGGCCACAGTGATGGGCAGCAGGATGCAGCAGGAGCTGGCCCAGCCCCTGCGATTCTGGGCTGGCCCTGTGCAGTGCCAGCTGGACTGTTCTGGCTCTGGCTGCATCCTGCAGTCTTGACCATGCAGCTGGGACTTGGTGCCGGAGCAGTGAGCTGGGAGCAGGGGCAATGGTAGCAGATGGGGGGGAAGTGGCTGCGAACCAGAGCATGGGTCTTTGCTGGTTCCTTGGAGCCAGGAGCAGAGGGAGGGTGGAGCCCCAGCTTGGAGGAGCACTGAGGGGGGGTTCTGCTTGCCATGGGGAGGGTGTGGGCAAATCTTCCCCTTCTACACATGCTACAACCCTCCCCAGCCATCCTCTCCCCACACACTCATAGCCCTCTGCAACCCCATACCCATCCACACGCACACCCACATGCTCCCCCACACCCCCATCCACCCCCCCCTACAAAATACAGGAGTAAGACTTCATTTTAAGCTAATGTGCAGTCACCTCTATGTACACGGCACAAACACATGTAAATCATGACAAAACCATTTTTTGAAATCAAATAATGCATTTTGTAGTAAATACTTTATTTTTAGAATATAATTTGGTATTTTTCTCATTCCGAGATGGCAAACCCTTGCTGAAAGGAGTATCTCTGTGGGGGGCAAGGGTGGGCCTTCCAGTCCCAAGATGGTGACCAAATGGCAGGGCACCTGTCAAGGGGCAGGGCCACTCTTGCGGCCCTTGATGGCTTGCTAAAACTCAGTAAGTGGCTCTCTGTCCAAAATAATTGTCTGCCCCTCTTCTAGATGCACCTGATTAACCAAAAAAAAAAAAAAAAATCAAAAGACCAATAAAACATGTAAGAATTGAGTAATAATATGGTTTTGGTTTATGAAAGTTGAAAGAAATCCATCAGCATGACTTTGGAACTCAGAGCAAATCTGACTGCTTACTGGAAAGGGATGCTTTTTATGCTTTCCTTGAAGATGTGTTATTTCCATTGCTATGTACTATCACTATATAAGCATCTTAAATATACTATTGTTATCTAATAATAAAGATGTTGGAACAGTGAAATTAGGTTATATATGTAGGGCAGCAGATGAGGGCTCCTGTGTCCATCACGTTGTATTGGAATTTTAGTCGAACATGCTTTGAAGGATGGCCAGATTTGCATTTTAGGCAGATTCTCCTCGCTTCATTTAACTTGGCTAATAACCTGCCCTCCAGTTGTGGGTGAGAGGATGTTGTAATATAATTGAAGCTTGAAAGAATTAAAATCAAGGTTTAAAAAGGGAAGAAGGCAGGCTGGTTTAGGCTACTGGAAATAGGGTAAGAGCTGCACATTGCTGAGATCTGTCCTAGTGATGTTTATATGACAATATCATTACTGTAGGGTGGATGCATGCATCTACTTACGTATGTCCGTATACAAAAGTGTCTGATATCTTGTACGTGTTTTCAGCATGTTGGTTCTAAAACTTGTGAACGTTTCTGCTGTCTGTTCAGTTTGAGACTGCAGTATTTGTTATTGTGTATGCATATACTAATGCAGGTAGTTTTCCTAACGTAATCCTACAATGCTCTATCCTTCTGTCCTCATGTGGGGCAACACTGGCTCTCTCACGTAAGACCTTGTAAGTGGATTGCTTAGCTTGCTCCCTTCTGCAGGCAGGTTTACTCCTTGAGAAGCTCCTCAGCCAGGCCTGCCAAGCAAAGCACAGTCTTTTAAACAAACAAAGAAAACCAAATCCTTCTCTTCTTTCCCAAATACAAGGAGGGGAACCTATTTTGCTTTGGCCCCTCCTTGCAGCATGCTGTTCCACTCATAGCTTACTTCCTCCTCCTCCTCTGCTTCTGGGAGCTTTTAATGCTCCCAGAAGTTACTCCCTCTTTATCCAAATGCTCTGCAGTTGGGCTTTCTCAACAGGGCAGACTGTTTCTTCTTCAAGGGATAGACCACCCTGTCACATTCCTACTTCTTCCTGCTTATGCACATTCCAAAGAGTTTTCTCCAATCTCTGCTTTGCAGATGAGAGAGATGCCTCTCTTTTGATCTGTCCATTTGTGCTCATATTAATGTTCCTAACTGACAGACCAACCTAGAGTTCAGGAAGTTCTTGCACCCCTTGATGTCTGTCATAAGAACATATGGAGTGCTTAAAACCAATTTCAGGCGTTACCATGTAGACAGTCCAGGGGTTAAGAGCTCCAGGATCTGCCCGCAATTACTGTGTAACAAAGCCCTTAGCTTTTTCAGAAGTTAGGCTAAATGACAGCATAATGTCTTCAGCTTGTGACCCAATAAGAGATACAGAAGTTGATAAACTCCTGCTCTGGCTTGTTTTTCAGGATGGAAGCTCACCTAAATCATTCAAATCCTTGTCTTCCATTCTGTTCAGTTCTTACCTGCCTCAAAGGTGAATTGTTCTGGAACTAATATCTGCTAGGCAGGATCCCAAGTGCCTGGAGCCAGGGCTCATACCTGGTTTCTTTGTGAATCATGCAGAACTTGTTCTCAGTTTTGTTCTGAGGTTTTCCACTATGATCCTCATGCTTCCACCATGTAATGTTTGCTCCTCTAGGGGGAATAAGCTTACTCCAGGACAAACAACAGAGCAGTAACTCCAAGTAAAGAGGGGAAGGGTGCAGCATTATTGCAATTCCACTCAGTACAGCTATGCAGCTCTTAATCTTCTCTACCTACTAGACCTCAGCAATTGATTCCCAGTATCAGGACAACTGCACTCAAGTGACCCCTGGCTGGAGCACAGATGCTTAGATTAGATTTTACCGTACATCTCTGATGTAGGTTTCCTTTCTGGAAAGTAGTTTGGGATTCACTTTTAGGATATAATACTTTTGTTTTAAAGTTTGAAGGCAATCTGTGAATCAGTGTACAACTCAGTAAGTCTTAAGTATAAAACTTGTGACTTTTTACCCCACCTCACTTTTTTTTGGCTGTCTAGATTAGGGGTGGGTAATTATTTTGGGCCGGAGGGCTGCTTACTGAGTTTTGTCAAGCCATCAAGGGCTGCATGACAGCCCTGGACAGATTAATATTAATTTTTTAAATTTTTTTCAGTGTATAACTCTTCTTGTATTCAATTGTGTTAACAGATGCATGGAATCTGTTGAAGGAAAAAGAATGAAACAGAAGTATCAAGATATAATACAATTGCTAGAAAGGTAGGTGTTACTTCAATAAATGCCTTTCTTATGGGTTTTCAAAGGCCACACATCCCAACAGTATCTGAGTACTGTACCTAGACATTCCAATTAGCAGCAGTGGACTTTGGAACAGAACTCTTTCAGTCAATTTGTTTTTGTGTTATTAATCTTACTGTAACCTCTAATCCCTGTAATCACAGTATTAGCCTTTTAGTGATTAAAAACACTATGTTATTTTGGTTTTCATTTACTTGTTCCTTTGGAAGTTTGTATTTGGTAGGTGAACACTGGAGAATCTTATTTTAATCAGTTTCCAGGAAATTTGATGCTCTCCTCATTAAAGACTCTTTCTATATTAATGAGATCAGTCTTCTAATGGATGATAGAAAAAAAAGTAGAACTTTTAATTACCATTTAACTTAACGTAGTAAAGATTCCCAAAAAAGACATTTTAGGATGACCCCTGAAGCTGTGAACATACGTTAAATACCTAATGTTACAAAAATGGAGTGTCTGTGTATTCACAACAACTATAGCAGGGGTGGGCAAAATACGGATTCATGGGTTGAATCTGGCCCACCAAAGGATTTTATCTGGCTCATGGCAGGTCTCTCAGCCCCACGCAGCTGAGGCACAGGGGACAGCCTGGACTGTGGTGCATGCAGCCATCCTGTTGCCCTCGGGTGTGCAGTGGGTCTGGGATGTCATGGCAGCTGGTCTCAGCTTTCCAGCAGTTCTGGTGGTGGCGGCTCCTTGCGGCTGCCACTGCTAGTGTCACTGGTGCCTCCGAACACAGCCCCGCTGCCCAGGCATCTTAGCCTGTTCATCTTGCACCCACCATCAGGGGTTCTGGATAGAGTAGGCAGGTGGATTCTCCATGGACACCAACCCAGAACTTGTGCAGGCATGGTCCACTTAGCTGAATGGAAGGAATGGAACTGTGGGTGGGTGGGGAGTGGTGTCTGGGAGCAGGACGCGTGGGGCTGGGGCAGTAACAGTGTGGAGCCTGGGGCAGAGCCACAATCCACTGCCCACATGTCCCTGTGATGGGTGATGGTTCCACAGGCAGGGTCATGCTGGGAGTGGATTACAGCTCTGCCCCAAGCCCCGGCCCCATGCTGTCACTGCCCCAAGATCCTGGCTCCAGCCCTGGGTAGCCTCATGCTATTCACCTGGCTGAGTGTGCCTTTCCTGCATGGGTCCTGGGCAGGTCTCCATGGAGACCCTAGGACTGGGGCCAGAATTGCCAGGCAGTGACAGCATGGGGCTGGGCCCCAGGGCTCAGCCACTTACAGAGTTTTGGTAAGCTGTCTTGGAGGGGGGACGATTACCCAGCTCACCAAATCTTCTTCAGTGGCCTTCCAGCCCAAATAATTGCCTACCCCTGATCTGTAGAGGCACAAAAATGGGAGATCCACCAGAAAAATGTCTCCTTTCAAAGAGGAATTTATCTCTAGACTTGTGTTTTGTTGCACCATGTGACAGTTACATGTAGTGCTGCAGTTGGGTCTTCTGGTCCTCCAGCACTTTTTTTTTTCTTTCCCCTCTCCTCCCCCCTCTACTTCCCTCCCATACAGGTGAGAAGGAGGGGAAATGGCTGGTACTTTTAGGGCTTTGGCACAGGTTACCTTTAACATGTCATAAAGGTATTTAAAATGAGAGCAGTCATTAGTAAAGGAGTGTTAAGACACCGTAAGTACCCTCTAAGGGCATTTATATGCATGATCTCGGAGTGTGTGTGGGGGGGTGCTTTAAGTAGCGTGGCTCTGAGAGCTGTTCTCATTAAAGCATCTAGAGTGTCAGCTATGTCAGTGTCCCTGTGCTGAAAATTGGTGATGGGGCCATTTTAACTAAAGCTCATCAAACAAGTGTTAGTTAAAACACCTACACTAACCACTTTTCAGCTGGAGGACACTGATACATGTGACACTGGATTCTGTTGGAGCACGGTAATTATCATGCTTCAGCAGACTTGATAAATTGAATATGCTACAACATGCTGTAACAGGGGGAGGGGCCAGGCTGGATTCTGGCCATGCAGCCAGAAACCACGTGGTAACACAGCAGCAGGCAGGGGAGTGGGGTGCACTGGAAGCTGCTGGCAGGAAGTGGTGGTGGCAGCAAGCAGGTGGGTGGGAGCTCAGCAACAGCTGGGTGGGAGCATGGGACCTGCGCCAGTACCTTGGGGCCAGAGCTAGTGGGGTTGTAGGGTAGGGTGGCAGGAGTGTGGAACCTGGGCTGGCAGGAGCTGTATGAAGTAGGGCCAGGCTGCACCAGCAGGGAGAGGGGAAGCTGGCCCAGCTCCATGGAACCCCTGCTATCCTGAGCCCCGTGTTCCTGCTGCCCCACCCTGGGTCCCTGCTGGCTCTGGCCCTGGGGGACTGGCACAGGCCCCATGATCCTGCCCAGCTGTTGCTGTGCTCCTGCCTACCTGCCACTTCTCCCTCCCTGCCTGCTGTGGCTGCTGCTGCCTCTTCTCCCCATACCCCCAAACACTGTTGCTGCTCCAGCACTATGTAGTTCCTGGCTGCACAGCTGAGACCACAGAATGCAGCAGGAGCCAGCTTGGCTTGGTCCACACAGTTCCCAGCTGTGTCCATGCAGTGCTTGCCAGGCTGGGCTGGCTCCTTTTGTGTTCTGCAGTCCTGGCGGTGGGTGGAAAAGTAGGAAAGCATCAGGAGAAGGGCAGTGGTGGCAAGAGGTGGGAGGGTAGTGGCAGCAAGTGGATGGGCAGGAGTGTGGGGCCTCTGTAAGTGTCCTGGGGCCGGGGGCAGCAGTATTGTGGAGTCTGGGCTGATAGGGGCTCTGCCTGCTGTGGCCTGTGAGTTCCCTGAGTCCTCACTGTCAGTGCTGCTGCTGCTCATGGCAGGGTTTGTGTGCAGTGAGGGAGGGGGTGTATGTTTGTAGGGGTGTCTCACATGCACACCCCACCATACACATGCACACACAGCCCCCCCACAAACCTCATACACAAGCCCCCGACAAACCCCACACACACATCCACACACATGTATGGCCCCCCACATACATACATACCTCTACCCCCATATACACCTGCAGCCCCTCACAAACCTATACTTGCCCTCCCCCACAATATATAAGAGTAAGATTTAATTTTAAGCTAATATACAATTACTTCTATGTATTCTACACAAACATGTAAATCAGGACAAAAATATTTTTTGAAATCAAATTAATGAATGTTGTAGTAGATGTTTGATTTTTAGAATATAATTTTTTTTTTCTGGGATGGCAAACCCCTGTGCTGAAAGGAGTACTTGTGGGAGCAAGGGGTAGGCCTTGTGGTGGCAAAGGTCAGGGGTTAGGGGTGGGACTTCTAGTCCTAAGATGGTGGCCAGGGAGCAGGGCACTTTTCTAGCGACAGGGCTACCCATGTGGCCCTCGGCAGCTTGCCAAAACTCATTAAGTGCTCCTCCAGGCCCGCCCCTGATATAGAGGAGGAGCCATGTCTGTGGCCCAGAGGGTGGCCATGGTAGCTTGGTGCTCCCTCCCATGCTGGGTTCTGCCTGCTAGGCTGTTGAGGTAGCTCCTGCCCAGAGCTGGTTCAGCCCAGCTGCAGCCCCATGCCTTGCTGTGGGTGCAGAAATCTGGAGGGGGGCACATGCCCCTCCTGCACCCCCTGACGTGTCACTTGTACCCACCCCTGCTTCCCCACACAGTCATCCCATTTCCCACACACCCACCCTCTTCCTTGCACACTGGGGGGTGGGGGGCAGTGGGTCAGGAAGGAGGGGCACTAGCAGGGCCAGTGAGCTGTGGGTTGAGAATGAGGGGCAAAGGCAAGGCATATTAGGGCTGCTCAGTGCCACAAAGCAGTGGCAGGGACATCTGTAGTTGAACATGTACCCTAGTGAGCAGAGGGGGCAGGAAGAGCTCTGATTTTCCATGATAAAAAAAAATCAAATGCCAAAAGATATACGTATTTAGAATTAATTTTATTATAAAGATTGAGGGACTAGTAAATTTTCAGATTGCTTTGACGTTGTAAATATATTGAGAGAACTTTGTGTTCAACCGATGCCTCTCTCTATATATTGGTGTTTCATTTCTGTTGTGTAAAAATGCATATTTTAGGGGTCTTAATCAGAGAATTTTGGATATTTATAACAAAAAATTGGATTTTTTGAGAGAGAGAACTATGATCCCTGGTGATGAAATAAGATTTGGATCCAAATTTTCAAAGGTATTAGGCACCTAAAGGTGCAGAAAAGCACACAGTGGACTTTTCACAGGAGTTAGGCACCTAGTTAGATTTTAAAAAATGCCTAAGCAGAATAGGTTCCTATCTACAACTCTAGGTGATCCAAATGCCCTAAGTCCCTTTTCATAATGGGCCTTGGCTCCTTAATCACTCAGGCACTTTTGAAAATTTTACCCATGCTCTTTGTCATTCTGACTTGTATTTTCCTTAGTTGTTTGTATTTTCAGGCTTGGTCTGCTTGGAAGTCTTATGGTTTATTTTTCTTTAAGTTTCATCTTTAGGAACCATGAATTGATTTTGTCTTTCATTCAACATGCTTATTTCTTTGTCTGGTAGATATCTGATGAATTTTGTCCCTGGCAGGTATCAGGAAAAGCTCTATAAGGAATGGTCCCAGACAGTATCTGAAAAATCAGAGTACAACCTCACTCAGCCACTTATCAGACGAGATCAAGAGACCAAGTTGATTGCAGTCAATTTTGATCATCAGGTAAAACTTGATCTTGATTAATCCTACTGCAAGAATCTTTCTTTATGTATGCACAATGCTTTATCACTTTATGCCACATTTTATTGGAGCTGTTATTTGACTCAAGGCAATTCTGTTAAAGATCTATACTGGATCTGTCTTGTTCCATGCAGCTTTCTCCATGAGAGACAACTTGGATATACTATCCCCTTTTGGGTCATGCTTCCTGTCATGCATCATCAGGTAGAATGAATCTTTACTGTAAGAATTTCTGTTGCCTAAGAAATTCTAATTAAAACCCAAGACAAAAGCCTTCATTATCCCCAGGTTAAGACTGCCTAGTGTTAGTTTGTGCTCTTCCAGAAGGTTTACTTTAGCAAAACTCACATTTCTGAAAAACAAAGTGCAGAGTTAAGGTACTGGCTTGTGCAGCCTTTAAATCTATCAGCTAGTGCAGGTGGCCACTGGAAATTATCTGAGAGCATTGCTGATCATTGACTGCGTTAAATATAGTTTTACTGAATGACATTTATTGAGTAGTTGGAACAGTTTAGCAGAACCAAGACTGTATGTAATATGAGGTGCTCCATGAGGGCAATGACTCTGCTTTGCCCTCCTTTGTTAGGATACTGGTGCACATGTACTTTGAACAATGCAGTGTAACTCATGTCACTGTAGTAGGCAGATTGTGTCAGTAGCACTGCACTGACACAATCTCCTTGCTGTGGAAACTGAGCAGAAAGATGGGAAATGAATGTGGTCTGTGAATTTGATCCAGATAAGTGAAAGTACAGTATGAGATGGCATAAGGTGATGGGGTTGTCAGGAAGGGTTGAAGGAGATTTAAAATGTAGCAGAAGTGAAGAGATGGTTCAGTGTTTGTTCAGTAAGTGTATGCAACTCCTGTTTTCTTACAGTTCAATGTCAGAGTGACTGTATGTGTTTATATCTGTATAAGGGCTTTGCTTAAAATGTTACTCATGTCTTCCCTGGTTTTCAGAAGTTTGAATTTTGCTGGACTTGGTGTTCTTGAAGGGCATATGATATCCCCCTGGCAATGTTAATTTTTGGTCAATATAAAGTGCTTTTGTAATTTAATTTCCTGTTTGTTTGTTCACTTGCTTGTTTTAATGGAGCAGAAACATTTCTTTTTAGCTAGTGTTCACAGCCATAGATGTAATTACCATGCAAGTTTGCAGTTGAGGTGTTGCTCTGACCAGGTTAAGATGCAGAATTCTATGTGACTTATAGAATCCTAGAAAATTAGAGTTGGAAGGGACCTCAGGAGATCATTTAGTCCAACCCCCTGCCCAAAGCAGGACCATCCCCAGCTATATCATCCCAGCCAAGGCTTTGTCTAGTTGGGTTTTAAAAACCTCCAAGGATGGAGATTCTGCAACCTCTCTAGGTAACCTGTTCCAGTGCTTTACTACCCTTCTCTTGAGAGAGGTTTTCCTTATATCTAACCTAAAATTCCCTTGCTGCAACTTGAGGGAAATTTCTTGTTCTGTCAGCTCCTTGTTCTGTCATCTGCCACCACTGAGAACAATCTAACTCCAGCCTGTTTGAGGAAAGGAGTCTTGGAGAGCTGCTTGTATTTTAAAGAAACCTTACTGAGGGCGAAGGAATCATAGGCATAGAAAGTTAGGGTTAGAAGGGACCTCAGGAGGTCATCTAGTCCAAACCCCTGCTCAAAGCAAGACCAGTCCCAACTGGATCATCCCAGCCAAATTTGTCTAGTTGGGTTTTGAAACCACACCCCCAGGATGGAGACTCCACCATCTCTCTGAGTAACCTGTTCCAGTGTTTTACTACCCTCCTAGTGAGTTTTTTCCCTAATATCTAACCTAAACTTCCCTTGCTTGCTCCTTGTTCTGTCATCTGCCACCACTGAGAGAAGTCTAGCTCTGTTTTCCTTTGAGCCCCCATTCAGGTAGTTGAAGACTTCAATTAAGTCTCCTGTAAACTTAAAAAGTTCAGTTTTCCTAGCCTTCCTCATAAGTTATGCCCCTCAGCCCCCTCACCATTTTTCTTGCTTTGCTGGACTGTCTCCAATTTGTCCACATCATTTTTGTAGTGGGGGGCCCAAAACTGAACACAGTACTTCAGATGTGGCCTCAATGGTGCTGAAAAGAAGGGAATAATCACTTCTCTTGACCTGCATCTTTGAAACATCTTTGAAAACTTGTGGTGGTCAGGAGAGGTCCCAGATAGAGGTGCACCAATACAACTGTCCCATATTGGATCGTCACCAATATGAGGAAAATTGAGAGCATTAGCAATCAGCCTTTTTTGTCTGATGTGGCCGATAAATGCATGCACACAACTGCAGCGCAGCATGAGGGTAGCCAAGAGCGCAGCCCAGCAGCATGGAGAACAGCCGGGTCTGGTGGGTAAGTTTGTTAAGGGGGAAGGAAGGGGTGGAGGGGCAGATGGAGGCCCCCACATTGAGAGAGTGAGAGTGAGGCTGGGGTTGGGGCAGGTGTTGCCCAGCTGGGGCAGAGTGGGGCACAGGACAAAGCTAGGAAGGGAGGTTGTGTAGGGCTGCAGCCACCACAAAATTTGCCATAGCACCTGCTCCCAGCACCACCATCATGTGCCCTGCGCACAGCCCAGCCCAGCC